AGTCGTTGGTATATGGATACAAATCTGGAAAACTTACAATATGTAATGAGTGAATAAGCACCCCCAAGAAAATACATTCGTGATCAAAGTAAAGTGATTAGGTGAAAAGGGAATTAATAAGTAATGGTTCACCATAGGTACATCCTCAATATTTAAATGCTGCGCAAAGACCTAGAAATTGCGTCACCGATTCCGATTGGCTTGCTTCTAAAGTAAGCCTTTGTCGCAGTTCGTTTCACATAAGGTGACGATCGTTGTCGCTTGATAAGCAATCTTCTCCGCGGCATTTATTCTGAAGTTAATTAATCCTATATTTTCATCCCATTTTACTTTGACTGCCATGGTAAATTCCTAATTCCGATTAAATTGTATCCAATTATTTCTATCATTTGTAATTTTTTCCCAGTATTCACTTAGTTAGTTGTTCTTTCATCCACTTCAAAACTGTCTTTTCACTTGAAATAATAATGTAAAATCTTCATCTCTTCTAAATAACTCAGCTGATCAAAAAACGGACCGTTGTTGCTACCCTGACGTGGTGATCGGGCTTGCCTATCGTGATAAAGCAACCGAGCTATACTGGCTGGGACAACCGTTCCTCAAGGTCCTACCATGTCAGACAGGTCGGTTAAAGAGCGGTAAGACTAAAAGCAACAAACCCAAGGTCCGAAGGCGAAGTCGTACTGCTGACTGTACAGAGGTATGACAGCAGTAAGGTGTTTCCTTCAGACAACCAGCATGACAGCGATGCTACCTACCCACAAGAAGGGGTTGGGTTAGAAAAGGTAGACCCTAAAAATGCACACCTCACCTTACCTCACGGATTTCCGTCTCCGGTGGTAAGGCCCTTTGAAGAACGGAGCTAACACGTCAAAAACCTCCCACGTAAAAGCCGTGCGCGACCGGCCTCAAGCAGTTGTCCCTTGGGCACTGCGGTCACGCTCCCAGCTCATTAAGACCACCTCTAATCCAATTTCCTTTTCAAGTACCTCCAGAACAACCCTTCCTCGGTGTGGGCAACCGGGAAGTGATAACCGCCCTCATACCTCTAACAGCACTCAAGACCACTGTATTCATGATCAACCTCCGTCTTCAATTCCTATTATTGCTCCTACATCGACTTTCAACTCTAAACTTCCTCTTTCGGCTTCCTCCTCAAGTGTCACCATAGCCAACGATTCTAGTGCTCAAAACACTGTCCCGGGTCTACTGAAACCTCGCTCCAAACTACACATTTGAGCCTTCAATGTACGCACCCTATGTCAAATCGGTCAACAGGCTTCCTTGGCTAAAACCCTAGAGTCTCTTTCCATTGATGTATGCTGTGTCTCCGAAACACGCATACAGGATCCCAGTGTGGTCATTCACTTGACCTCACCTCGGCAAAACGGAGAGCCAACGAGATACACCCTACGTGTATCTGGTGACCCGACGGCCAGTTCTCGTGGACTGGCAGGAGTAGGGATAGCACTAAGCATGAGGGCGGAACAAGCACTGTTAGAGTGGATCCCCGTCAACAGTCGTCTATGTGCTGTTCGGCTAAACGGCTCCGTAAGAACTCGGAAGGATAGGGACACACGTCGTTGCCTTTTCGTCGTTTCTGCCTACGCTCCCACCGACTGCAGCTCAGATGATGTGAAAGATGAATTTTACAGAAAGCCAAACTCTCAGACATAGTACTCGTAGCAGGTGACTTTAATGCCCAGATAGGTAGCTTAAACCAAACAGAAAGGCATTAAGGTGGATATTTTAGCATTCTGGCACAGCGAACAGATAATGGTGATCGTCTGCTGCAACTGTGCTCAGACAATCGTTTGTTTTTAGCAAACACAAATTTTAAGCATAAGGAGAGACATTGTCCAACATGGCGACCCCCTACACCAAACCAACGATGGACTTAAATAGACCATATTGCCACCAGTCATCGTTGGAGGGGGTCGGTAGAAATTTTTCGCTCATTCTGGAGTACCTGCTTGGACTCCGACCACGCCCTAATACGGGCACGCATCTGCTTGCGCCTCACTGGATGCAAAAAAGCCACATTAAAAAGACCCATTAGAACTGAGTTGAGTAACCAGAAAACCAAAAATAGGTTCCAAGAACAACTGAGGTCACACATAGGTATTTCTGAAAACGAGGTTGACCCAGATGTTGCTTGGAAAGCTATACAAACAGCTGTGGAAACAGCAGTGAAATCTATCAGTGATTTAAACTACAGGGTTACAAAGAACCAATGGATTTCCTCAAGGTCTATTGCACTGATGGATTCTCGTAAACTCATTCCATCAGGCTCTGAACATGATGAAGAGCGAAAACAAATCAGATCTAGGTTAGGCAAAAGTCTAAGAAACGACCGTGAGCAGCGGTGGCTATAGGGAACACAAGACAGCTCTACAGACTAATAAAAGAAACTGGAATTAATAAATCAAGTGTAAGTCAGACTATTTCGGAAAAAGACGACACCCCCAGACGTTTAAAACGATGGGCGGAACATTTCAGAGAACAGTTCAACTGGCCTTCAGCTACTCTACAACTACCCTCCATTCCCAGACAGTGTGAATGGAACATTGAAGTAGGTCCTCCAACTCTAGCAGAAGTTCAAAAGGCTATAGTTAATCTGAAACGAGGAAGGGCAGCTGGTCTAGATGGATTGGCTCCAGAGGTCTTTAAGGATGGTGGCCCAGTTTTAGCGATTAGGTTGACTAATATTTTAGCCAAGATCTGGGAATTAGACGTTATTCCTTCTGACTGGTCACAATCACTTATCGTCCCAATATATAAGAGAGGGTCAAAATCATCCTGTGACAACCACAGAGGGATTAGTTTAACTAATATAGTATCTGAAATACTAGCCTCGATAATTATCAGACGCCTAACTAAGACTCGTGAACTGCAAACACGAGAGAATCAAGCTGGCTTCAGACCTACATCGACTGGCTGCATCGACCACATATTCACCATTCGTCATGTTCTAGAACATAGGCATACTTGTCGGCGTCCGACAATGGTGGTCTTTCTTGACTTAAAAGCAGCATTTGACTCGGTAGACCGCGAGATTCTGTGGCAGTGTCTGTCATTGAAAGGCGTACCTCAGAAGTACATAAACCTTGTGAAGGCTCTTTACTCGAACACTACTAGTCGAGTCAGAGCTTATGGTGAACTGTCATCTACTTTTGCAACCTCAAGTGGTGTCCGTCAAGGCTGTCCACTTTCTCCATTTTTGTTTAACTTCATCATAGACCTATTGATGGAAATAACATTCTCGTCGACTGAGTTCTCGGGTATCGATCTCTATCCAGGAGGTCCATTTATCGACTTAGAATACGCAGATGACATAGTCCTGTTTGGTGAAGACGCTGACAAAATGCAGTCTTTTGGTAGCACTGAGCAACAATGCCAGAATATTTGGAATGCACTTCTCTCCCTCTAAATGCAAGTTGTTGCTTCAGGACTGGTCTGCGTCAACACCTGAACTAAGGATAGGGAGTGAAGTAGTCGAACGCGTTGACAACTTCACTTATCTTGGAAGTCTGATCAGCCCTAATGGGTTGGTATCTGACGAAATCTCAGCACGGATTCGAAAAGCTCGCTTGGCTTTTGCCAACTTACGTCACCTATGACGAAGGCGAGATATCCATCTATCAATAAAAGGACGAGTATACTGCGCGGCAGTCCGTTCTGTTTTAATTTACGGCAGCGAACCATGGCCATTAAGAGTAGAAGACACTCGTAAGCTACTAGTATTCGACCACAGATGCCTTAGAAATATTGCTGGCATCTGCTGGGATCACCGGGTAAGTAATAGTGAGGTCAGACGCAGGGTATTAGGGAATGATGCTAAATCAGTTGATGAGGTTGTGAATCTTCATCGACTGAGATGGTTGGGTCACGTGTTACGTATGCCTGAACACCGATTAACACGACGTGCAGTGCTATCCGGTATTGGAGATGGTTGGAAGGAAGTTAGGGGCGGCCAAACCAAAACGTGGCATCAGTGCTTGAAGACACTAACTTCTAGTCTGAGCCATGTTGGTAGATGCAGACTACATGGTTGGGGTCCGCGTGACTTTCGTAACCAATGGTTGGAGACTCTTGGTGACATGGCTCAGAATCGATCACAATGGCGTTGGTGTATACACTCTCTGTCTTCGCTTAAACTGAGATTAAAATCGCTCCACATCTTTCTTTCTGTCAACTAATTCTTTCTTCCTGTACTATATCCTTATTGCAATCTTCCTTTTATATATTACTACCTTTGACCTAACCACTCCTATGAATCCGGTGTTCATCTTGCTGTGCTAATGCGGTATGGCAACCTGGACCGATGGACATATGTGCCTGGTCCTACGTTGTAGCTGACTGACTGTTGATTGATTTGTATTCACCTTTAGGTAGTTATCGAGGTTATTATTTAAATATTCAGATCATCTACAAAATCGGACGAATTGCTTCAGAAATGTTTATAGAATTAGAAAATCGTGTATACCAATTTACTAATCCAACTCGGATGATATCACAGTTCTATATATATTTATGAATATATTCATTTTAATTGACCGCCAGCTAACGAAACCTGAGTATAATAAAGCATCTGCCTGTAAGCATTTTGGATCTAGGTGCAGAGATTGCCGGTTTATGATTTTTGGTCAAGTAAAATATTTATTTATGCAATAATAATTACTTATGGTAATGAGAACTAGGTTTATGGTGAATTCAGTCTAAGGTCCTTCAACTCACATCTGTTCATCTAAGTCCGATTCAAGCTGAGGCGACGAGGGATATAAATGTTCAGTGAGTTTGACAACTAAATAATTACGTCCCTAATCCTCTTCTGTGTACTTTATCTTGTGGCTAAGTGGTAAATTAGTAATAGGAAGACCACTACATTCAGCTCGGTTACAATCCTTATTTTTTAAATTATTTGTTCTGGTACAAATACCTCAGTGCTTGGTAAGAAAATGTACTTTTGAATTCCATGTATTTCTGTTTCCTTTTTGTAGATTATTTCTATGTATTCGTTTCATCATTTAAAACGCTTCAACACTTCAAATATGAACAAGACACGCCAGGTTGCCAGTCGCGAGTCGTTATTTGCTATGAGTCAATTGCCGTTATCTTTTTCAAAGGATGACGTAACTCAGTCTACTTTTAGATTCTCATCTACCCACTCTATGCCACGGTACTCCTTGCATTGTATTCCAAAATCAGGCCCAATCGACCATTCGGTACGTAGTCCTCGCTCAATATCTGATGAGTCTGATGGTGCCTTGGATATTGATGATCAATACTTCAAGCCTAAATCAGGGAAAAATCCTTATACGAAGGTCTTCATAACGCCGTGTAACAAACCAGGTCAAACAGTCGCTCATGGTATGAATGGTGATAGTAGTAATGTAAACGGTACTTTACGTAAAGTGAATAAATCAACAAAGAAAACTAATCGTTGTACAAATCCATGCTTCTTTCGTCATACACATTTACAGTCTTTTGAGGAAAGGTTGGAAGTTAACTCTCATAGAAAGTTACCACAATTTTATTCATCACACAGTTTAGACCATTCAACTACTTATCACATTCCAGCTCTTCGACAAAATATAAGAATTTCAAATATGATCAGTAGAACTTCAACCGAAATGATTCCATGAAAGGTATAATATGAATTACTTCTTTATGCATTTTTTGTGTACACTTACAACGATATAAAATACACTTACCATATACTAGCACTCTTTCCTAATGTTGTTTTGTCGTTATAATATGAACCAGAATACAAATAGGGTGGTTGAACAGTAAATATTTTAAAATGAATATATTGTTATGTCTTGCATAACATTTTATCAACGTTGATGGTGAGGTCAATATTTGGAATCAGTGATATTTATCTAAATTTCATGTTTGCAAATGATTTGTTTATTCCTTTATCGTCTATAATACTAGTTCGTAACTCTCATCATTATTAAACCATAATGTTAATTGTTTTTATCATTGAGATTTAATACGTAATTTCTTAAATTGTATTTTCTTATTAATCAAAAAATTCATTTTCATTCTTATTTTGTATATCCAATTTTAGATTAAATTGTTTACATTGTTTCACGCACACATCATTATTTCAGTCAGTCAGTCAGTCAGCTACAACGTAGGACCAGGCACATGTATGCATCGGCCCAGGTTGCCATACCTCATTAGCACAGCAAGATGAACACCGGATTCATAGGAGTGGTTAGGTCAAAGGTAGTAATATATAAAAGGAAGATTGCAATAAGGATATAGTACAGGAAGAAAGAATTAGTTGACAGAAAGAAAGATGTGGAGCGATTTTAATCTCAGTTTAAGCGAAGACAGAGAGTGTATACACCAACGCCATTGTGATCGATTCTGAGCCATGTCACCAAGAGTCTCCAACCATTGGTTACGAAAGTCACGCGGACCCCAACCATGTAGTCTGCATCTACCAACATGGCTCAGACTAGAAGTTAGTGTCTTCAAGCACTGATGCCACGTTTTGGTTTGGCCGCCCCTAACTTCCTTCCAACCATCTCCAATACCGGATAGCACTGCACGTCGTGTTAATCGGTGTTCAGGCATACGTAACACGTGACCCAACCATCTCAGTCGATGAAGATTCACAACCTCATCAACTGATTTAGCATCATTCCCTAATACCCTGCGTCTGACCTCACTATTACTTACCCGGTGATCCCAGCAGATGCCAGCAATATTTCTAAGGCATCTGTGGTCGAATACTAGTAGCTTACGAGTGTCTTCTACTCTTAATGGCCATGGTTCGCTGCCGTAAATTAAAACAGAACGGACTGCCGCGCAGTATACTCGTCCTTTTATTGATAGATGGATATCTCGCCTTCGTCATAGGTGACGTAAGTTGGCAAAAGCCAAGCGAGCTTTTCGAATCCGTGCTGAGATTTCGTCAGATACCAACCCATTAGGGCTGATCAGACTTCCAAGATAAGTGAAGTTGTCAACGCGTTCGACTACTTCACTCCCTATCCTTAGTTCAGGTGTTGACGCAGACCAGTCCTGAAGCAACAACTTGCATTTAGAGGGAGAGAAGTGCATTCCAAATATTCTGGCATTGTTGCTCAGTGCTACCAAAAGACTGCATTTTGTCAGCGTCTTCACCAAACAGGACTATGTCATCTGCGTATTCTAAGTCGATAAATGGACCTCCTGGATAGAGATCGATACCCGAGAACTCAGTCGACGAGAATGTTATTTCCATCAATAGGTCTATGATGAAGTTAAACAAAAATGGAGAAAGTGGACAGCCTTGACGGACACCACTTGAGGTTGCAAAAGTAGATGACAGTTCACCATAAGCTCTGACTCGACTAGTAGTGTTCGAGTAAAGAGCCTTCACAAGGTTTATGTACTTCTGAGGTACGCCTTTCAATGACAGACACTGCCACAGAATCTCGCGGTCTACCGAGTCAAATGCTGCTTTTAAGTCAAGAAAGACCACCATTGTCGGACGCCGACAAGTATGCCTATGTTCTAGAACATGACGAATGGTGAATATGTGGTCGATGCAGCCAGTCGATGTAGGTCTGAAGCCAGCTTGATTCTCTCGTGTTTGCAGTTCACGAGTCTTAGTTAGGCGTCTGATAATTATCGAGGCTAGTATTTCAGATACTATATTAGTTAAACTAATCCCTCTGTGGTTGTCACAGGATGATTTTGACCCTCTCTTATATATTGGGACGATAAGTGATTGTGACCAGTCAGAAGGAATAACGTCTAATTCCCAGATCTTGGCTAAAATATTAGTCAACCTAATCGCTAAAACTGGGCCACCATCCTTAAAGACCTCTGGAGCCAATCCATCTAGACCAGCTGCCCTTCCTCGTTTCAGATTAACTATAGCCTTTTGAACTTCTGCTAGAGTTGGAGGACCTACTTCAATGTTCCATTCACACTGTCTGGGAATGGAGGGTAGTTGTAGAGTAGCTGAAGGCCAGTTGAACTGTTCTCTGAAATGTTCCGCCCATCGTTTTAAACGTCTGGGGGTGTCGTCTTTTTCCGAAATAGTCTGACTTACACTTGATTTATTAATTCCAGTTTCTTTTATTAGTCTGTAGAGCTGTCTTGTGTTCCCTATAGCCACCGCTGCTCACGGTCGTTTCTTAGACTTTTGCCTAACCTAGATCTGATTTGTTTTCGCTCTTCATCATGTTCAGAGCCTGATGGAATGAGTTTACGAGAATCCATCAGTGCAATAGACCTTGAGGAAATCCATTGGTTCTTTGTAACCCTGTAGTTTAAATCACTGATAGATTTCACTGCTGTTTCCACAGCTGTTTGTATAGCTTTCCAAGCAACATCTGGGTCAACCTCGTTTTCAGAAATACCTATGTGTGACCTCAGTTGTTCTTGGAACCTATTTTTGGTTTTCTGGTTACTCAACTCAGTTCTAATGGGTCTTTTTAATGTGGCTTTTTTGCATCCAGTGAGGCGCAAGCAGATGCGTGCCCGTATTAGGGCGTGGTCGGAGTCCAAGCAGGTACTCCAGAATGAGCGAAAAATTTCTACCGACCCCCTCCAACGATGACTGGTGGCAATATTTATTATTTATTTATTTATTTGAACACATAAATATTGGTACAAGAGAGCGCCAATATATATGCGCCACACAAAACAATGAAAATTCGAAGAGAAATAGAAAGAAAAAAAAAAACTAGGGAACGCAAAAGAAAAAGAGAACAATGACGAAGAGATTGGAGTAAGGTAGTGTGGTAGTAACGACGGAACGAAAAGGTACAATCAGAAGAAATCTTTCAGGTAAAGGAGACACAACCACTTTTTAGAAAGAAAGTAAAAGAAGGTTACAGCAGGATCGCCACTGGCTTCTATTCTGAGCCATATCTGATAACGTCTCTAGCCACTGTGTAGCACCATCTCTCGGACCCCAACCAGGGAGTCGTGAAGGACCAACACAAGCCAGTCCTTTGCAGCTTTCTTTCATGCCACGACACCATGTCATGCACTGACCACCTCTCCGCCTCTTCCAACCAGTCCCAGAGTCGGCAAATAATGCACGACGTGGAATTCTCTGGGACGACATTCGGAGAACATGTCCAAGCCACCGAAGTCGGTGTTTCAAGATGGTGACACCAATTGAGTTATCATCTCTGTGCCCGAACACACGATGCCGAACCTCTGCATTACTGACATGGTGTTGCCACTGAATGTCAGCAATCCTTCGGAGACAGCGATGATCGAACACAGAGAGTCGTCTAACGTCCTCAACTCGGAGAGGCCAGGTTTCACAAGCATAGAGCAAAACTGCTCTCACCGACGCGTTGTAGATCCGACCTTTTACAGCCAGACTAACATCACGAAGGCGCCAAAGGTGGCCCAGATTGGCATAAGCCGCTCTGGCTTTCACTATTCGTGCATTGATCTCATCACTCACACCCCCACCAGCACTTATGCAGCTACCCAGATACACGAACTTCTCAACTACGTCTATCTGCTCACCGTCCAGGGTGAGTACAGGATTAGAATCCTGCCAGTCTTGTAGAAGTACTTTGCACTTCGAAGGTGCAAAGCACATACCATACCTACGGACACTGATTGCCAACTGATTAAGTGCGGATTGCATGCCTTGGGCATTATCGCACAGTAAGACAATATCGTCCGCATACTCAAGGTCGAGAAGTCTTTCTCCAGGCAACAGATCCACACCACCATTACTTACATTCATCAGAGCTGTTTCCAGAATGTCATCGATGGCAAAGTTGAAGAGGAATGGTGAGATTGGGCAACCCTGCCTAACCCCACTGCTCGAATGGAACAATGGAGAGAGGTGGTTGTATGCCCTCACTCTGCCTGAGGTGTTTTTATACAGGGCTTTTAGGATGTTAATAAACTTCTCAGGCACACCCTTCTTCAATAGACAATCCCAGAGAACAGTCCTGTCCAACGAATCGAAGGCAGCCCTGATGTCAAGAAACACTACGATTGTTGGCCTTTGAAAAGTATGGCGGTGTTCTAACATTTGGCGGAGGGTGAAGATATGATCAATACATCCTCGACCAGAACGAAACCCAGCCTGCTCCTCGCGAGTCAATCTTTCTCGGGTTTTGAACAACCTACGAAGAATGACGGAAGCCAATAGCTTGGACGCAATCGGAAGTAAACTTATCCCCCGATAGTTGTTACAAGAACGACGTGAACCCTTTTTAAAGATAGGGACAACTATCGACTCATTCCATGACGTTGGTACACTCTCTAGTTCCCAAACCTTTGTAAACAACGTCGTCAATTCCTTAGTCAAAAAGTCACCACCATCTTTAAAAAGAGCCGGAGGTAAGTCATCTGGGCCAGGTGATTTGTAACGCTTCAAGAGTTGGAGTTCCTTGCGGACTTCCTCCTCATTTGGTGGATCAGTCGTCACCGGCCATGGAGGGCAGGACAGTCTGACCGATGTTGCCGGAGCAGCAGGCCAGTTGAACTGCCCTTCGAAAAATTCTGCCCATCGTCCAAGACGTCGATGGATGTTAGTGATTGGCATCCCATCATCCTCGCAGATTGTTTCACTCACACCAGACTTCTTGCTGCCAGTGGCTCGGATGAGCTGGAAGAGCTTCCGGTAGTTACCAGATGCAGCTGCTGCTTCCAGCTCATTAGCACGCATCGACCACCAGGCTTCTCGGTCCTTACGCAAGCTTTGCCCAATCTCCTTACGTAACATCCTTCGTTTATGGTCAAACTCACGGTCACCCGGAGTAGACCGACGGGCTTCAATGAGTTGTAAGGAACCAGAAGAAACCCAGTGCTTAAAGCGGGACGTTTCGCAAACCCACAACTGACTGTTCCCGCCATTTTCATGGCGTCATGCAATTGCAACCAATGCTCATCTATACTTTTCGGTGGAGTGGTAGCTAGCCTAGAGGCTAGCTCGGTTCGATACTTACTTGCAACAGAAGTTGCAACCAGCTTGCTAACATCAATCCGTTGATGGCGTTCACTTCGTTGTCCACTGAAAAGTAAGGTAAGATTGGCGCAGACCAAGGCATGGTCAGAGTCCAGATAGGTACTCCAAAAGGAGCGGCAGTCTTTTACACAACCACGCCAGCGGTAGCTGATCGCGATGTGATCAATCTGAGTCCAGGCTTGAGATGCAGAGGGAGGACGCCAGGTGGCACATCGGCGATGACTGTGCCGAAAGTTAGTGCTAGCCAGAAACAGGTTGTGGTCTGTGCAAAGTTGCAGTAGACGGTCCCCGTTATCTGACCTGCGACCAACGAGTCCCCATCGGCCACCTAAACGACTCTCTTCTGTGCCTAGACGCCCGACCTGAGCATTCAAGTCTCCGGCTAGTACTACAATATCTGTCGAACGCACTTTCTGGAGAAGAACTGATAACTGGTGGTAAAACTCATCCTTGATTGCATCCGGGCTGCAATCTGTCGGGGCATAGGCGGAGATGACGAAAAGACATCGTTTCTCACGCCGATTTCTTCTCACTTTGATGGAACTTTCTAATCTAACAGCACATAACCGACTGTTAATGGGGATCCAATCGACTAGTGCTGCCTCAGCTCTAGCGCTTAGTGCGACACCAACGCCAGCAAGACCAGACGAAGATGCCACAGGGTCCCCGGATAAGCGCACGTAAAACAAGCTTTTCGAAGCGACAGATGGAGATCGAATTTGTAGTACTTCGCCAGAGTCTTGAATACGGGTCTCGGATAGACAACACACGTCGATATTAAGACTTTCCAAAGACATAGCCAGCCCTATCTGTTGTCCGACCTGCATAAATGTGCGAACGTTGAAGGCAGCCAGTTTGAATGGTGCACGTGGTTTCAGAAAATCTGCTTCAGTCCTCGTATTCGGTGGTAACATACAATTTTCAACCGGACAGTGACTCGAGAACGTATAGATACAGTCGGATTTCCGCCAAAGACGAGCCGCTGTATAAGTATAAAAGAGGGTGAGTAATGTGGAAAATAATAATAATAATGATAATAATAACAATAATGACAATAATACTAGTAATAATAATAACAGTATTAATAATGACAATAATTGTAATGATAATAATCTGAATCAATTGTTTGTTTTTCAAAGCAAGAAAGGTAATTTCCGTAGGCATAAAGAGTTCATCAATTTGTGTGTGGGCTGTGATACTGCCCGGGTGCCCAAACCGAAGCAGGTGGTTATCTTAGGGGGCCACTCCCCGAGCCTTTGACCTAAAGGTCTAACCCACAAGGCAGTGGAGCATCGTAAGGAGATGCAGTCCCATGGTAGCCGGTGACCAACGATTGGTTCATACGCCATTCGTTCCCGCAGGATACTGGAGCCCATGTGCACCATTGATTTGGAATCCGGTTAAAGCGCCGGACATTCGCTTTTCGTCCTCTCATTTTCGTAGACAACACCCCCGCCACGAGAAGGCAATGAGTAGGACTTCCCTGGCAGAGGCTGTATACGCGTGGCCGTGTGAGAGTATTTCGAGAGGGAGAGCGGACTCTCCCCACTCTCGGCCGTACCAGGGCATTCAGGGGGGCTATATGGTCTATTTGAGTCCATCGTTGGTTTGGTGTAGGGGGTCGCCATGTTGGACAATGTCTCTCCTTATGCTTAAAATTTGTGTTTGCTAAAAACAAACGATTGTCTGAGCACAGTTGCAGCAGACGATCACCATTATCTGTTCGCTGTGCCAGAATGCTAAAATATCCACCTTAATGCCTTTCTGTTTGGTTTAAGCTACCTATCTGGGCATTAAAGTCACCTGCTACGAGTACTATGTCTGAGAGTTTGGCTTTCTGTAAAATTCATCTTTCACATCATCTGAGCTGCAGTCGGTGGGAGCGTAGGCAGAAACGACGAAAAGGCAACGACGTGTGTCCCTATCCTTCCGAGTTCTTACGGAGCCGTTTAGCCGAACAGCACATAGACGACTGTTGACGGGGATCCACTCTAACAGTGCTTGTTCCGCCCTCATGCTTAGTGCTATCCCTACTCCTGCCAGTCCACGAGAACTGGCCGTCGGGTCACCAGATACACGTAGGGTGTATCTCGTTGGCTCTCCGTTTTGCCGAGGTGAGGTCAAGTGAATGACCACACTGGGATCCTGTATGCGTGTTTCGGAGACACAGCATACATCAATGGAAAGAGACTCTAGGGTTTTAGCCAAGGAAGCCTGTTGACCGATTTGACATAGGGTGCGTACATTGAAGGCTCAAATGTGTAGTTTGGAGCGAGGTTTCAGTAGACCTGGGACAGTGTTTTGAGCACTAGAATCGTTGGCTATGGTGACACTTGAGGAGGAAGCCGAAAGAGGAAGTTTAGAGTTGAAAGTCGATGTAGGAGCAATAATAGGAATTGAAGACGGAGGTTGATCATGAATACAGTGGTCTTGAGTGCTGTTAGAGGTATGAGGGCGGTTATCACTTCCCGGTTGCCCACACCGAGGAAGGGTTGTTCTGGAGGTACTTGAAAAGGAAATTGGATTAGAGGTGGTCTTAATGAGCTGGGAGCGTGACCGCAGTGCCCAAGGGACAACTGCTTGAGGCCGGTCGCGCACGGCTTTTACGTGGGAGGTTTTTGACGTGTTAGCTCCGTTCTTCAAAGGGCCTTACCACCGGAGACGGAAATCCGTGAGGTAAGGTGAGGTGTGCATTTTTAGGGTCTACCTTTTCTAACCCAACCCCTTCTTGTGGGAAGGTAGCATCGCTGTCATGCTGGTTGTCTGAAGGAAACACCTTACTGCTGTCACACCTCTGTACAGTCAGCAGTACGATTTCGCCTTCGGACCTTGGGTTCGTTGCTTGGAGCTTATGAGGGATCTAATAAATGAAACGTTCTTAAACTATTTTATACCACGAGTTGGTTGTCATTTAGGCGATAGCGATCGTCAGTGGACACAAAAAATGTGTGAAAATACGAGCATTTTTTGTATGAATACAATAAACATGAATACGTGATCTACGGGTTACGCGACGTAATAGCACTGTAAAATGGGATAAGTTTTGAAGTCATACATCCAGCTAATTCACTGTACTAAAATAAACAAGATTGGTACTGAGTGTTTTAAAAAAAGTGAAAATATTGTTATAATGATAGTAATACGATTACGTGTACTTGATTTTGCAAGTCGTATTGCTTAAATAGATGGTTTTATCCATTCAAAAAGTGGCTAAAGAAACAAAAATTAATGTGACCTAAAAAATTTAACAGTACTTGTACTATTTGTATATTATTCAACAAATAATTACTACTGAGATAATTTAATTGCGTGATACAAATTGAAGTAGGGTTTTTCCAGACAAACGATATTGATTAATGACAACAATAGAAAGCAAAAGTCTTTAGTGTGTTCTAACTTGTACAACACTGTACAAAAGGTAAGGTAACCACATAAATATAACAGGTGAAAGTCTACATTCAGTCATAAGCAACATAAAACCTGACAAATATGTGCATCAGTTCATATTGCAAAAGGACATCAACATAGCGGGATATTATTTGGATAAGTGATAAATCTACCTAGTCATTCACATAACTAGGTGTCATATTTTAAACCGATATTCACATCATTCTGAATCAACAAACTGTTTTTTGTCAAACCTACAGTACTTTTAAACGCTTGTTTTGCAGCAAGACGTCTTTTAGACCGTAGATAAAGTTGATGTTCTTTCGACTTTTCTCGATGACGAAGTTGTTGAATTCGGCTATTTTCCCCATTAAAGTGTACATCTAATTTATCATTTAATCTTTGACGCGCTAATTCGCGATTTCTCTCCAGCTCTCTACTATCCTATAACAACAAATTATTATTAAAAATTAATTATGAACAGGTAAATAGAATACTACTAAATATTTTACCTTGAAAAGGTAATGAGCATTAAACAGTTGTTTTGCGTTACCAGTGTAAAGTTGTGGAGATTTTTTAACTTTAACGAGATCATGAACCGATTTAATTAACATAACCATTGAAAACATAGGACGGGACAGGTATTTCGTTCAAGTGTGAGACTCATCAGGACCCAACACGGTTGGACTCTGCTGGTCACTGCTTTTGATCGGAACTCATGAAATACCCTTTCGATGAATATACGCACCGAAAGTGATGGAAAGTAGTCGCGGAGTACCGCAAACTGATTGGAGTTAGGTTTATATGTCAGTGAGTTCCGGCTTAGTGGTCTAGTGGTCAAGCGTTCTCACGAGGGACCGAAGGGCATGGGTTCGATTCCCTGTTACGATGTCATGATTGGGCACTGTTAAGGAGTTCTACACTATGACGGGCGGAAGTTCGGAGCTCAGTGGTTTCGAACGTTTTACCAAATGATCTCAGCTCGTTGCGCGAGTCATCTACTTACTAAAGCTATCTACAAAAGCGTAAACATGAGTCTCCGGAGATTTTTTTGAAAAAAAAAACAGAATTATGTAGCATTTCGAAATGAGGACGGGTGTACCAAGTTTATATTTATTACTAAATTGAGCCCTTTAGATGCGGTCGAAGAAAAACCGAGATTCATTAGCTCGATATCTGATAAAAAGGGTCGCCTGTCCTGTTATGTTGTCATCCATGTACGAAGGAAGCTTCGTCAGGTATATAAATCTGAGTTGCCTTTTTTTCCTATTTCGTTTATTAAGAATTCTATAACTATATTTTATACATCATTATGTGGTAGTCTGAGTGATGTTTGTATGCATTAACAAATAATCAGGAATCCCATATTCGAAAGCTTAATGAAATACTATTTAATAGGTAGTTTTTACTACGAATTGATAATACCAAAATCATTGAAACTACAGGACAATATGGACAATTACTTCACTTAATTTCTGACACAATGACAAGGGAAGATCAAAAGGCATTCACTATACATACTTGTTTAATGGCTTTTCAAGGGATAACTCTTGGATAGAGAAAATGCTTTCTGAATGACCCGAAACCAATTTAACAATATAAAAGTAGCTGGAGAGTCAGTTAACAAAGCAATGAAATAAATGAGACTGAAATATTATCTGAAGTAGCTAAAGGAAATACACGATTACAATATGAAACTAGTCAACGGGTTATACAGTGACCACTGGAAAGTACTTAAATCAATAGGCATTATGATAGCAAGTCATTAATCCGTCTTTTTTGTATTATATAATCGTAGTCATCTAACTGGGGTTACCACACTGGCGAATGTTGGGAATGGATAGAAACTTAAGTGTGATAAATCGAAACATGGCACCCATCTATTAAGTCATTTACTATTGATATGAGTAGTAAGATAATACCAGGTTTCTGAGTTGGCTTCAGGAGACAACTATAATCATATGTCAAATACATTGGACCATATAGTTTAAAATCAAACTCATTAATACAAATATATCAACTGTCTGATTTCCATTCTACAATATCAACTCAGTATCGACATCTCGTCTTCTGAGGAGCAATCACCATCGTACCGAGCGTGTTCGGGTTATACACGAAATATCATGAAATACTCATTTCGAGGACAGCAATCAAGTACATAACTACACCAACAGTTAATAGTTGAATTAAAGTCTCAGTATCATGGTCTTATTGCCGTTAGTTTATTTCAAGTTATTTTGACATATTGCGAACTGAATTCGCACTTATGATACATGACTCATTCAATTTAGGCCACTGTATGCTAGCAATGCACTTAAAAAAACACATCCGAAGAAAAGTAAACATGGAAAATACCTGACACTTCACCATGATACCTGTGGGAATGTGTTTTAAGACCACACAATTGGCAGTCGTGTTAATTGACTGACCACCTGGACCACTTCCAAGTACATACATTTCAGACAGGTCACATTCACTGAAAAGCCACTGATTTTTAGAGTAAAATCTCAATGCGAAGTGATATGGCGATAAACTGCATCTTGCCAACCAATTATATATTCTTAACATGATGACGATGTAGATGCTTCAAAGCATTCTAAATCTAGAAACAAAACATACAACCACCTTCAGGAAATTGTAACATACAATCGCATAAAAAACAAAGATGAAAGAACACTTCAGGTGACACATTTTGAATAATACGCTGAAACAGCAATCAAAAATCGAAAACTCCTATCAAAATGAAAAACAATTTGGATCACCTCATTTATATTTACCGGTGTAATATAAACCAGGTATAAGGACTTGTCTATAAAGACAAAAGTTGATATACAAGTGGAACTTCAAACAAGGAAGTAATTAAATCGTTACTTCTGTTACTCCATCTGGTTAAACCTCTTTATGAGCTGAAAATAGTGTAGGCAACCGAACCTTACTCAATCCACAAAATCATACATAGCATATGCTGTAATTACATAAGACTGTGAAAATCAATGGATTAACAGAAAGCAAGATATCTGAACACTTATAGAAAGAATAATTCCGTTTGATGATAATTTCATTGATGTAACAAAGACAATATTCAAAACAATCATAAAGCTCTTCCTGCAAAAATAATAAAACATTGCCACTTTACATTTTTTTTCTCTCACAAAGTGATACCACAGATTACTAGATGAGTTCATTTGCCCTCTCCATATATATATCAGGTAATATCAATTGTGGTCGTAAGAAGCCTAGATCATAGTCTTAGGGTTTCAGAAGCAATAAATATCAAGTTTACCACCATTTGTAACTTTTCCTCTAAAACAGAAATGAGGAGAATCTTGATATTATGTCAGAAACTTAATAATTGTTTGACTGAGCGCCCTATTGCTTCATTTAAGTGGTCTATTTGAAGACTTTTACCAGTCGTTCTGTTTGGTCGTTTGATTATTGTGGAAGGGAAATAATTTCGGCAGAATCGCTTGAAAATTTCTGAAAGGCATGAACACAGCACATAACGTCAAATGTATAGTAAAAAAACCGAATCGAGCCGAGTTCAGTGTTACTCTAACGTCTGTACGTGGGTCACCGTATACTTACGCCTACATAAGCAATTTCGAAATATTTTGGCCACTTTGGACTCTTCCCAATACAAACATTTGTCAAACTTCAACGTCAGAATACGCTTCTAATCACGTCTTTTTATTTTATTTGATGCAAGTGTGAAAAATAAGAAAAAGTTAGATAACTCACTTATTTACAGAAAAGTCAATACTAGATGAAATCCAACCCAATCTCGTTATCTTAGGGAAATTCTGAACTTAAGGTAGATTTTAGGGTTTTCCCCAACATCGCAGGAAATGAGGTAGTTTTACCCAAAGATCCTGTGAAAATATTGAGGGAAACCATAAATTTCCCCAAGCGTTTTGGTGATTTTCCCTGAACTTTGGGGTTTTTATGCCATTTCCTTAAAAAATTCTCTGGAGTCTTTTATGGCGATCTTCCTACAATTTACCCAAACCGGACAAATTTTTTCACCAAAATAGGGAGGTTGAGGTCACAGAATGACATTACCCTTCCATAATAAGGATAGGTCTATTGGTGAGACTATGATTTATGGATGTCCTTTGAGCGACGCTGAAGCGACCCTGAGAGTAAACATCGACTGATTAGAACTAAATGAGGGCTATAAAGCAGTTGGAATTCTCATTTAAATTTAATTACAGTTGGTAGTTAAAGTTAAAAATTAGATTTAGGATTTTAATCACGAACTGATGTGTGGATGAATATCGCGCAAAAATTCGTGACTCGTTGTTTAATATTAAACAACGAGCAGATATATATCTGCTTGGTTCGTCCACAAATTATAGTCTCGTCGTTCTATCGACCTACTGCATAGTATAATTATTTGCTCGATTTGATCTACCCATTAAACATTTACAATGCTCCATAGTCACTGTGAATTTGAAACTAAAATACAAACAAACGTCTACTTACAATTTGTTGCCCATCGACACACCTAAATATGACCTTGACACAGCAAAGAACTTCGAGCCTCAGAGTTCGCTGGGTAGGAATTATGACTTCCAATATCCAATAAATCCAGTTTCTTTGACACAGGTTTACATAAACCGAATATTTTCTTTTCCCTCGCTTCTTTTTGTCTCCGTATAATTTCATGAATTTTATTGTATCACGCTTTTCGAACAAGAAGTTTGATAATAACGTGATAATCAAAAGTTTCATGTGTTATTACGCAACCAAAGTACCATTTCTGACCGGAAGAATCTATTCTGATCTATACTTTGGGTAAATTACACTTTTGGAGTTTCATCCAATTTAATAGTTAACAAGTATCGCCTCAGCTTACTATTCAGTATTTATTTTCAATTTTGCACGTAAAGGCTAGTTCAGTTTATCTCATCCGTTTTTATCCATTTTGCTCGCTTTTAGTGTGCTCTTCAGTGTATTTTTGTACGATCTTAGGCTTTTGCTAGCATCTACAACACAGTTTACGTCAATACAGTCATGAACAATTCATGCAAACGACCTGGATCCCGTTTTGCTGTTACATCTGGCATGCAGTGCGACAACTGCAAAGGTTGGTTCCACGAAGCGTGCACAGATCTCACAGCAACTGCTTACAACAGACTCAGCAGGTCGGATCATAAGTGGGAATGTGTTACGTGCAGCACGGATGCTGTAGTCTTGCTGAGTAATATCATTGTCCTACTGACAGGTCTACGGAGTAAGTTGTCAGCAAACTTGGAAAAAGACAGTCATAAAACGGGTAGACAAACAAGGGCGCGCAACGCAAACAAGAATAGGAATGTCTACCATCAATGGAGCATGCATTAGCACTAATGATGACATGTCAAAACTCAGCACCATCATTACGTCGACGGTAAGCGACTCCCTCAGTAAACTCGTGTCTCCCAACTCAGGGTTCTTGAATGCAACAGGGGTTTCCAAAGACTCTGTAGGTGATTGGACCTACGTTGATAGAGCTAAAAAGAACCAGGTTTCACCGTCTAAGCTGAACATCTCAAGTGTTGTATGGAAACCAACTGGTGATTTAGTAGCACAGTCTACCCGCAAGAATGTCATTCCGGTCATCAAAGAGCCTAGGATTCAGAAACGTGCTTCGACCTCCAAACAACAAGGTGCCGAACCTGAACGTACCGGAAAACCTGGGAAAACAATAACGGTTCGTGATGAATCTCTCATAATCATGAACCTTAAAGACAACCCTGAGCTTCCTCTCAGTTTGCAGGACGAAAATGACAGGATATTCTGGGGTGGATTGAACAAGAAACTTGAACTTCCTAGAATAGAGTCTTTGACGGTCACACGGCTCATTCGGGGAAAGGAATCTAAGAATTAAAATCACCCGAGGCTACTTTGTGTAACAATTAAGAATGCTACCGACGTAGAGGATGTCTTGCTAGCGAGTCATTTACTGAAATCCGATGGGAATGTAAGAATATTGCCTGACATACCGTATTCTGAGCGTAATCTCATCCGGAACATCCCCAAAGAATCTCGCTGAGGGAATATAATTGTGAAAGGTGTACCGGAAAACACGGACCCTAATCAAGCAAACTCCGATATCAAGGAATAGAAATTCGTCAAACAGTCCTTGAGGCTCAAAAACATACTGGCTCAACACGTGACGAGACTAGCCAAGAGGGACGGTGATTCCAGACCCCGTCTAGTGAGGATAACTTTCCCGTCCTCCCACATGGCGGCTTCAACTCTGGAGGCCTTTCGTGCCAACAGACGTCGGTTGCCAGCTGGAACCCAAATGTACCCGGATAGGCCATATGAAGCCAGGACCAATCACAAGGGCAAGTCGGAGCTGATCATTCCATTTGTGGACTGTCCTGATGATAAAAAAACGTGTAATGGACAGAGCCTAGCAACTCGGCAAACCTCATATAGTTAGGTTGTCCATTCACGTAAGGCTCATACACACAAACAGGAAGAAGCTCACGCGTTTCAAATTGAAAGCATAAACTGCTTATACATGAACGCCGCGAGTCTACCAAACGAAATGGATGAGCTACGTGAACTTAGCAATATTCATAAGGCTCATCTGATAGGAATATCTGAATCTTGGATATCTTCTCAGTTCTCGGAACAGGAGCTAGCAGTACCTGAGATGTCTTTGTTTCGCAACGACAGAAAATCAGGAATTGGTGGTGGAGTAGCCATGTACATACGATCTTGCTTGGAGGTACACCAAGCTCATAACATTGAGTTTAATAATCTTGAGGAATCCATATGGTGCTCTGTGAGATTGTCTACTACTTCGAGGTGCCTAGTCGGAGTCATATATAGGAAGCCCACTGCCGACATCAAGTACGACAGTCGCATGCTGGAAGGATTATCCCGCTCTACTCGTCTCAGTTTCCCTTATGTTGACATATATTCAGTGATTTTTGTAACAACAAAAATAGAAACCACATTTTTTCTCTAATTTGTCACACTTTATTTGTAACCACATTTTTATTCAATATCTGTTGTTTTGCTGTATCACTTGTTAAAAAGACGATAATTATTGTTTCGATGAATGATATACACTTCTACTACCGGGTTGTTTAAAATATAGAACACTATCTACGCCGTTGTTCTTCTGTTTTATTGGCCACCGTTTTGATTGAAGACTATAATAGTATTATAACATCATTATAGGCCTTCCGACTCAACGTTGGACTTTTGGCGCGGTTTACTATTGTATAATACTATTGGACTCCGTCTTCCTCATTACGTCATTGGTGCAGTCACTTGCAGAGGAACACCTGTCAATCAAGTGAACTCAGTTTGTGGTCGTTGTCCTCACGAGGCAGTTAACAAGTAACATTCATTCTATAGTAACTGTTAGCGTCTGTTTGTTTAATATACCTTTTGTATTGCTAACGGTATTTTATTACCTTTGTTTTTACTAACGGACAGACATCTAGGTTTCTTAACCATTAATTTGTTTTGGTATATCATTGTTAACCTAGTGTATCAATATATTTTGTGTAAGCTCCTTTTGTTTGGGGACCACCACAAATTTGGTGAGCCCGTAAAATTTTTTT